ATACCCACGCACAAGAATTTATTCTTCTGCGGGCAAATTCAGTTTATTTACGTATACCTATGTTAGTTTTAGTTATATTTGTATATTACGTGAATAAACTTATTATCATTATTATTAATAATTCTTGCGGATGTTTAGAAAACAGAAACTCGTTGCTTACGAAACAGGTACCCTATTAGGTATACGGAAGCCAGGCGAGGAGGGGCATGTGGCCTCCCTTACCCACTTAATGAGCGACTATGGTTCTAAATAACTATACTGTAATTGTTCCCATCTCTAAATATACATTAAATGAAAATTTATGCAGTAAGATTTCCATTTTAATGCCGTATACCCTCGTATATTTCAAATTATAGCAATTATGTTGCTGTTTACGTATTAGTAATGAGCGTTTTATGCTATGTGTTGCAATGCAATTAAAAAAGAAATTTAACGTGAAAGCTGCACACACTATTACCAAATTTTCCAGACATCGAGCAACAACACATTACCCGTTGTTACCCATGATTATAGTTTTGGAATGATCCTATGATTCATTGCAGAGTAATGGTTATTTTCGAGGTTATTTGTTATAGCTGGATGGAGCTATTAGATTCAGAAAGTATTATAGACTGAAAACTAAATACCACTGACATTGTAACGTCTACGAGAAAGAAGCGCGAGAATCGTGCAATATGTGTGTTAGAAATATTGCCTAGCAACGCGAGTTAAGAGGCGACGGGTGCCATCGGTGCACTCTTTCTGACATACAGATTGGACACTTCTCTCTCATACACATTACGACGTCAGCCAAATTTGAACCTTACCGTATAGTATTGTATATGCGATATAAGAGAAGACCAAATTGTGGGGTTTTAGAATTTTATTTCTTTGTAGGATTCAGATAAGAACGTCACTATGAGATAATGCTAGAGTAATAGTGGACATTTCTGCGGTGATATCAATCCGTTGACAAATAATAGAGGTGGAAGGCATTTTAATTCTTGTGCAGCCTATAACTGGGAAAATATTAGTAATATCCTGGCGCAGACGTGACATTCTGGAAATACGTAGAACTGCTTAAAAACGAACCTCTTATCGCAAAGTAATAAAAAAAAGATTAAACATACGGAAGCAAGTAGAACGGGACATCATACTTCCATGAATTAATCTATATCTGTATGCAAATTAGGGTTGTTGAGGAAGTGATTATGAGGAAGAGGAGGAGGAAGAGGAATTGTCACGCGCAAATTTAGAGGATGCGGATGAGGAAGAGGATATTTTTTGAGGAAGAGGAAGCGGATGAGGAAGAGGAAATTATAAATATTAGCGGACCCAACCCAAAAGCCGCTGTTCTGTCTGTACATAACTAGGTACATGTGTACATACACAAAATTAATTAAAAGGGCATTTTTCAGTGGACCAAACTATGAATCTAAACCATTCTCAAAAGACACGCAATAAAGAATCATCAAAATCGGTCCAGCAGTTTAGGAGGAGTTCGGTAACATACACAACACACGTACACAAAAAAAAGATGAGTGAATGATACAATTTTATTTAGGAATTGAAATGAAAATAAATAATAAGTCGAATATTAACTGTCAAAATAAAAGAACTGAATACTAATAATCAAACTTAATTATAGGGAGGTTAATTTTTATAAAAATTAATTTGGACGCTGTTTCCCCTGACAACCGGTTTCTTAGCTCATCATATACCAATCCAGCATTGCTAAAAAGTCGTTCGCTTGGGACACTTGATGGAGGAGAAGATAGGTATTGCCGTACAGCTCCGTAAAGCTCCGAATATTTCGGATTATTTTTCCACCATAGAAGACTGTCTTCATGCATATTAATTCGTTTTTCTCTAATGTAGTTATTTAATAGTAACTTCAGTACCACGGATCTATCTTCTATTGGTAAACTTTCAATTTCATCGTCACTATTTAGCTCAGAGGCTAACATTGAATCTACAATTTTTCCCGTGGAAGTGCTGGCTGTGGGGCAGGATGTGTCTACTACAGCCCCAGAACTAGTGGATGGTTGATTGTGGACATCCATGACGACATTGTCTATTGGGCGTTGGCTGGTTGATGTTAGTACTGTTAGTAGCGCTAATTCAATACGTTCTTTAGTTATTTCATTAAAAAATTTCGTTTTGTATTTTGGATCCAAATATGTAGAGATGGCGTAGAGATTATTATTATGAAGCTCACCGAAGCGGTTGTTAATCTCTTCTATCAGTTTTTGGATGACATTTTTGCAATCTTGGTCATTACCAATGTTATCTTCTGTCAAAAAATTTTGCATTGCACATACTAAGACATGAATCAGTGGTATAACAGAGGATATACATGCCTCAGTGCTGCTCAAAGATTTAGTTACCTCTTCAAAGGGTTTCAGAATCCTCGTACAGGTTTCAAGTTTTACCCAATCACTTGGTACAAGTTGCGTCAAATTTGGGTGTTGCGATGTATATAATATGATAGCATCCTTTATCTTAATAAGTCGCTCAATCATATAAAACATGCTGTTCCACCGAGTAGCACATTCTTGGATAACTGACAGCTGAGGTAAACCTAGGCGTTCTTGAAAGTCGTTCAATTCCTTTTGTTCAGTTATAGAGTGATTGAAGTGCGTCGCAATCTGCTTACATTTAGCCAACAGCGTTGAGAAATGTTCATTAGACGCCAAAGCTGAACGTACACACAATTGTAATTGATGTAAGGTGCAATCTATATCGTCGATTTGTGAGATACGGGCAGCTCGTTTCATATTAGATCCACCGTCACGGACCATTGCATGTAGCTTTTGCCGAGGAATGTCCCATTCCTCTAGTATTTCGTCGAGTTTTTGAGCTACCAGATCGCCCGTGTGTCGTTCTTCGAGAGTGACACATTTAAGAACTAAAGACACTCTTTGGAAATCATCATTAATGCCGTGGACCGTAAAACTAAGCAGAGAAACACCAGCTCCAGGCTCTGTCCATATGTCAGTAGTGAAAGACACGTATTCCAAATCTATTTCAATAAAATTAAAACAAGTTGGAACAAGCAAAGAAAAGCACGGGTGGCGGGAGGGGAGGTCTCGCTCGCCCGTTCCGCCCGGCATCGCGCTGCGGCGTGTGAGTTACCATGGATACCCGACGCGCATGCGCAGTGAAATTCGTCATAAATTCCTCTTAAATTTTGAGGAAGCGATAGCGGAAGAGGATTATTTTCATTTTTATTATGAGGATGCGGTAACGGTTGAGGAACCCAAAATATTGCGGAACTTCCGCATTATGAGGAAGCGGAAGAGGAATCCTCAGCAACCCTAATGCAAATCCTGCTCTGAAATGCTCCCAAACCTGTAAAAGTTTGACAAACCAGTAAATGAAGTAAGTAATTTTTTTGTAACCTATTAAAGATTTTTTCGCGAGATCCCGTAGTGAACCGGAGCGGGATCAGATGGAATTTCCCCTTCCTCTCGAAGTTTTGACAGTTTCAAGTTACACAGGGTGTAGCTAGATGGCGCATGTTGCGCAAAATATTTACTTTGAGCTCCTTGATAAACTTAGCTGCCTTGTTTGATTCTGAAATAAAAAGACCGATCGTTTTTTGTGCAATGTACATATATATCAATAAAATCAATCATTTGATATGACAAGTGCGGTTCATATATCTTCGATCGTCATTTAAAATCAGGTGGACGTGTTCCTCCATTTATGATTTAATAATTTAACTCGATTTTCGGCAGTGCGAAGACAAATTTTCAATTGAGATGCCTGTTTTTTAAATGAAATTGACATATGACCTGTCACTCGCTAGAACCCGTACCACGTGATTTTTTGACATTCGGATGACGTCACATCCGTCTTCCCCTATTCCCGTCCTTCGCGAAAATTTGAGTATCGGTTCCCGGTAGCGTACTGTGCTACACCGTGGACTCGCAAAAAAATCGTTATTGATTGATGTATGAAGGTAGCCAACCATGAACTGTATTTCGTCGTCCAAAATATTAAACATTATATCCTGGCATCGTTTATGAGATTTTTCCTATAGCACATATTATGCTTATAAATCGCTACAGCACCGTCTATAAGACAACAACTATTTCAAAGTAGATTTCTCATTATTCCGAACAAGAGAAACATAGTTGTGACAAATAACGTGAATCAAGGGTACCACCAAAGGTATCCAAATACTTCAAAAACATGAAAGGTGACATCAGAAATAGCTTTTAAAAAACATCTATTTGCAAATCATAAAAATGGATAAGTTTCTTAAAAATCAGTAACCTAAAATTTATTTTGACTACTAGCAGAGAAATAATGGAAACCTGCAAAACAGAGATGAACGAAGTAGCTTTATATTCAAAAATATTCATATATATTCATACTCATGTTTTTACAAGGTCTAATAATAAGAAACATCCGGCTTTATTTATACAAACTATAAAAAAGCATTTTTCAACTTAACGCAAGTCTACAATTTATAGACCCTTCTACCGAATAAAAACATGTTCTCCAAACAATATGTTTTATCTTTGTATAACATTTTTCTAAGGGTTATCTTTAAATTCTCTGGTACAACATCAAATAATTTTAATGCCCAGTACCCAAGACCATTCCGCACCTCTTCGAGCGCCAGCAGAGTGGAACTAAGTTTGGGTAGTTTCTAATATCATATCCATGAATATCCACATGTGTTCAGTAATTATTTTTCTTGATGAACAGCATATTTTCTAATATGTATATGTAACGTTAAAATACGCTTTTCTGCAGTCACCTCTGAACCCTAATGATGCTACAATTCTTATTACCTTCCGTTTATTGCGAACAGCCTACAAGCTCACGTGGGTGACCCCATACTACAATTGCATAATGACAAATTGAGCATGCACTAGAGCGAAGCATGCAGTTCTTAACGGGGCTCCTACAATCACGAGCACCATCTGCTGAGGTAACGGTGGGGTGAAAGGGAAACGACGGTGGGCTGGCTCTAGACGGTTGTCGGTGCTACTTTAAAAGAGGAAAGGATGACTGCGGGTACATACCAAGGTAAATTTTTATAATAACAGAGTTGGATTTCGATTAGCCATCTAGCGTGTAAATCGTTTCCTATTTTGGTACTCAGTAAGTGATCATTTAGTATTTTTCTCCCCTTGTTACTGTTCGCCGATATTGTGTTGTTGAATTGTTGTGCTGTACTCTTGTCGGTGTGATTGTTCTTGAGTGCATTTTTTTATCAAGATTGATCATGGACAATAAAAGGTCATATGCGACCATTTTAATTACGAATACAGTGAGTTTAAAGAAAATGAGTAGTTTTATGGTGAATTCTGTCAAAGACCTGACATGAAAGACATTGATTTGGAGGTTGCTAAGCAAGAATTTTTAGGGAAAAAAAGTGACGACGAGATTTTGCAGATCGAAGAAGACACCAAATCACAGGACTGTACTTTGTGGCGCCTTCATCGGAGGATAAGGTTGACGGCGTCTCGATTTGGTGAAGTTTGTAGAAGAAGGCAGACAACAAGCTGTAAAGTTCTAGTAAACTCCATCATATACCCAACAGAGTTTTCTAGTAAGGCAATAAAAAAGGCAATACAAAAATCATTGGACACGGCAGTTCAATCTTGTGGTTTGTTTATTGATCGCACAAATCCATTTCGGGCAGCATCGCCTCCATCTACCTATTACAGTAGACAAGAAATGTAGTTAATCCAGGTATAAGCCTACTTGTTTATTGCTTAGCAAAATTACCTAACTGTTTCCTCTTATTTTGAGGGATAATATAATTTTATCACCCTCGTGCAATTGTTACCATGTACCACATGACCCTTGTAAACATAATTGTGTTTATTGACACGAATAAACGTCTTTGAATTTGAGTTCTTGAATTTATTTTACTAAAGATATCAAATTATTTGAATACATTTATTCTTAGTCGGAACGCGCCGTCGCGTCGCTTGGACTAGCAGGACGAAACAGTAGACGAATTTCGCCCAAAAACCGATTTGCACTTCACAGCTTACGTTTAATTTTTTATTATTTCCAAATTAAACTCTTGCAGCGTGCTAAAAACAAAGTCCACAGGGTGCTAACGATCCACTTTTTCGATTTTATCTAGGATCTTTTTAAAATATCAAGAAGTTGAGCACAAATAGTAAGCATTTCAACCCACCATAATTCTTGCACAAACACAAAATATTTTGTAAAAAGCTCTGATAGCACCTTAGGCAATTATGTCCTGCTTATTTCCAGAAAAACATCACAAACTGCAGAACGCAAATTCAAGATGTCCGCGAAATGGGTACATTTCACGGGTCATGAAATTCAAATGAAAATGCAGGTATAAAATCTACCAATTATCGTTCTCAAAAACATGTTTCCTTGAAATATCGATAATTTTAAAGTTCCACGCTAATTCCCCTATATTTGACTGGAATGATGTCCGAATTCATTCTTCCCTATTGTCGTCGGACTTTCGTTACTTAAATTTCCTGTAATCACTCTGACCAGAAACTTCTTAATAATAGAACGTGTTTCACTGATATCAAAGATGCAACATTTAGAATCACCTTCCCCCAACCCTCACTTTTTAAGCATTACATTTTTTTTATGTTAATGATAAGGAACCCCTGTAACGTCAAAAACGGAGTTTCAGCAATTGTTACTTTTTCTTTTTTGCCTACAGCACCCTTGCCATTGGACTAAAACTTCAAAGCTTTGGCATACTAGTGACCCTGTGTGGAAATTTCATAAAAATCCGAGCAGTAATTGCCAAGTTTATGATGAGTGATATAGTTTTTCGTGATGTAGATGTCATATGACTTAAAAAAACAGCATCTCATTTTAGAAATTTTTCGCGATTACAATACTTCCTCGCCACTGGCATGGGAAGTAAAACGTTTTGAAAATCGAGGAGTATCAGCGATCGCGATTATGAATACCTATTTGCAGAACGACTTATCTACGCGATATTATATGAAATAGGGCCACAAAATTATCTGAATACGTCCTTTCTTAGTCCGTACGTTGCGCCGCAACGCTTGGTTTGGCAGCATGAAACAGTAGACAAAAAACGTCCAAAATACGATTTGTAGAGGTTTACGCGCTTCAAAATTGAGGCTTTATTTTTTGATATTTTTGAATGAAATTTTCATAGTGTGCTGAAAACAAAACCCCACAGGGTGCTATAGAGCCACTTTTTCATTTTTTTTACTTTATTCTTTTTAAAAAAAATCTCGAAGTTGAACAGAAAAAGTGTGCACTTCAACCCATCATAAAACTTGTGCAAAAACAAAATCTTAAAAAGTGCTCCTATAGCACCCTGGGCAATTATCTTCTGAACATACTGTATGAAGTTCATTCAAAAATATTGAAAAATGGAGCGTCAGTTTCGAAGCAGCTGAACCCTTGTAAATGGCTTGAAACTCACTGCGTCGGAGCCGCCTTAATACATAGATTAGAGTGCTCTGAGAGCATGTATTGCGTGTTATATTACCAACAATTTTCTGTATGAGTTTCCCATTGAAGCTTACTGCACAATGTACCTAACACCAAGAAAGGGAGCCTCATTCACACCTTCCCATTCCTGTAAGGGACACATCGTAAAAATCATATTCTATATTTTGTTTTTACTTTTTACTCAAAACCATTTTATTAGCCATAGTTCAGGCTCGGCTAGACATGCGTTAGATTTTGAAACTGGCAATACTTGACTGTTTTCCGACTGTCAAAGATTTATCACCGGAAAAAAAGAGAAAATTTGACATTGTAATAATTAGTGGCAGGCAGATCATTATACATACATATTGAGAATAAAATGGGTACATGACAGTAAAGGACAATCGAGGAAAGAGGCTTCAGATTTTTTATTTATTTTTAATTTTTTCAAAAACTTATTTGTTTTTGAAAGAACCACATATTCTTCTCAATTGAATTTCTTTATATCTCAAAAAACAACAAAAAAATAGCTATGCTGGAATTACGGTTACATGTGTTACATCGGCATAGATGGGGATACTAGGAGCCTTAAGTATGGGAAGCCATTACCCCCAAATATTTGAAAAAGTTCAAGTGATTTTTAACGATAAAAAAGGATAGACCTATGTACGTCGTTAATCAGTTAATGAGTCATTAAACTTGTAACAAATAAACCATCTGAATGTATAAACGTAATTGCATTAATCTTTGTTTGTAAATGGAGGTCACGCTTAGTATAATAAAGTTGGAATATGCAACGGTTATATTTTTGTTTATATCTGTATAGTAGTATTACACTGGGGGTTATTCTGAATTGTTTAAATTATACCAGGGACATATCTAGCAAGCTTCACACTATCCCATGCATGGGCGGATGTAAAACGGGCGCCCCCACCCTCTACTTACTAGAGGACCAAGTCTTCCTCTTTTCAATTAAATGGAAGAAATTGCTGTATCTTGGTGCTAAAATCACCTTGCTGAATCTGAATCGTGCGCCCTCCAGACGTATTTCACCTCGCTAAATTCAATTGTCGCAAGGAGAAGAATTTTGGAAGGCCATAATATCCGGGAGTTTTTCCTATGAACAATTTATCTGCCCATTAATTTCATTTCAGATCTATATAAATATGCAGAAAAAAAATTCGTTTAAGCCGATTGCTATACCTACATTAGCTGGATTATTTTCTCAGTGATACATTTTTTCAATGGCGCATTATTTGGGAACCCATCCAGTAAGGCTGACTGAGAAATAACAAAAGATAATTTTAGAATAACGATAAGGTCTTATATGTTTTACTGATTGGAAATGACCCTCCTATCACTCCTATGAGTTTGATCCATGACTTTTGGGACACCCAGAATAATAGATAAAAATCCCTATTTGCTGGGAAGCATGATGAGGTTTAATAGAAAAGGAGACTACCCAGAAAATTGGTTGCACATTATAAGCCTTCTCAAAAAGCCCTGGCAAAGTCGATATACATATATACATTTCTTGAGTTTATGACCCTTTCTGTAAAAGACATACGCCCTAAAGTATTGTGAAAAAACGTAACAGTTTTTCACCATTGTTTTGTACACACAGTTTATACATCCCTTATTCAGGTGGACAATAAAACCATAGCAATAATATCGCCGCTCTTGGCGTATCGATGTATTAATAATGGGCAAAAGAAAAAATGATAGTTACACAGGCAATATAGTATAAACCGAAACTCCTGAATAGCTGCTTTTATCGGATGCTTGATGAATTATTCAAGTTAATCGATGTTTTAAGTGTTCACAGCCCCTGAGTTAGAGCTTATTTCAGGGTATCCCACAACCTATGCCAATGAAAGGGGGCGATAGGGAAAGCTATTTTCAATCAGAAGAAAAAATGTCCATATCGGATTGTGCACGGTTTTTCAGTTATTGTCATCTTTAGGAATTTGACAAAAAATCGCTACTTTTGAGACTCTGCTATCTTTTTCTGAGGTTATCTTTTGTTATTTTGCAATTAGCTTTACAGGAAACGATCCTAAATGATGTATCGATGAAGAAAAGCTATCAGTGAAAAATTAGTCAAGTTAATGTCGGCTGAACCGTAATTTTATATATTGTCAAAAATATTACCGCATATTCAAGTAGGCTTGTAGAAAAAATTAATGGTTAGATAAGCTTTAGATTGTAAGGAAATTTTTCAGATATTATGGGGTTTCAAAATAGCTTTTAAGTAATCAAATATCCCAAATAGTTTATGCGCAAGATCGACAAAATGCTACAGGTACCCTTAATCAAGAAAATTCTCGTTTTATGAACTTAAGGGATGATAAATCCTCAAATTAAAGTCAATGTAAGGCATGGCGGTCTTGATATTGTTTTGGTTCATAAAAGGCTTATGGAAGCTGTACCGTATTACCTAATCTGATAACGGCGTTTTGTAACACAAATAGGACAATAAAACATGTAGTATATGGAAACATGTTCTTCATTCGTATATTGTGCAACGGAAATGCACGATTTTCAGTAGAACGGATTTTTCAAACGATGTCAATGCGACCGAGATCCAAATGAACAGGTAGGAAAAGAAACGATGTTGAAGACGGAGTACCACTTCTAGCGAAGATGAGCCTTCTAGTAGTGTTCAACGTATTTTGCAGAATGTCTGTGTAGCTAGATCGACAGTACATCAAATTGTACGTAGTAAGCTACTGTACCAATTCCATATTGGACGTGCGCAGTCACGAAATAGTACCAAAAGACAGTCCAATTTTACAACAATTCAGAAAGTTAGTTTCCCGAAAAAAATTAGTATATGTGATTATCTAAGAGACATTTTGGGAGGCCATAATATCTGGAAGTTTTTCATAACACTTTATTTGACCAATTTTTTGTACGGGTGTTGTTGAATATGCTGTAATATTTTGACAACTGACAAAATCGCGGTTTTACCGATTGCTGTACCTACATTACCTGGACTGATGTTTCAGTGACAGCTTGTCATTCATTCATTCATTTGGGAACGTAAGTTGAAAAGCTGAAATTCCAAAAGACTTAAGAAAAATATACAGTCTCAAAACAACCGGTTTACGACAGATTCTTAAAAATGGCAATAACTAAAACCGTACAAAATCGGATATATGATTTTTATTGGAAATAACCCCTTATCACCCCCTTTCGTTTTATCCATTACTTTTGGGCACCCCGTATATTCCAATATTCTCTTTTGTTTTGAGCACTTGATCATAGGCGGATCCAACATTATAGTTGAGATATATAGGTTGTGCTAAAAGATAGAACGTAGAACATAGATATGTATGTATCAAGTACGGGTACTAATTGTAAGTTGAACTAGATTAAACTGCTACAGGAAGATTAATTCATACCCATTCAAGCCTCTACTGCCACTCTACTTGTCGACAATTACTAATGAAAGCATTTCCAAAAACATACAAATATCCCACCTACGCGGTTGGACTAAAAAACTTGAATTTCAATCCTTTTAATTTTTGCGATTGCACTGTCAAGACGACGAATCTTTTAGTATAGATTTTTCTGTCTGCCACGCTATAATAGTTTACCGGTTTTAATGGTAAACATCATATAGTTTGTAGTAATTATAATAAATGAAACGATGAATAACAATGTTCACCAGCTTCCCCAACAACATCAAGATAAATCATTTGAGTAAATAAACGTAGTCAAATTAAGGTACGATAAGGTATTACAATTTTCAAAGTCTATCGAGGATGTCAACAAAGGTGTTATTAATAATAAAATACACTATAAGGAACATAAAATGAATGCTAATCCAAGTAACGCACAACAACTATACAGCGTAACGCCAATAAAAGCAGACTTTCTATACTCACTGAATTAGATAAATGTTCTGGTAACAGCGGCAACAGTTACTCAACCCAAATAATTGAAGGTTATCTTTTCTACAGCGCTACTCAATTTACGCACTGTATCGGCTGGTCTGACGACTGAGACTGATCCACAAATTTGGTGGAGTCTTGAGACAGAAAATGGACTCGCGATGAAGTTAGGAAGGGATCGATATATACGTATGTAGAACCGGATAATGGTGGAGGGGCGGAGCAGTTCAAATACGAGGGCAACGTGGAAAATGTTAGCGGTGCTCAGCTCGGATTAGCATAATCAGTGTGTAACGTTCGTCATCCCAATATGTATGTGATACCGCTAAGAGTGAGGAAAAACAAAAAAAGAACCTCCTTGCCTATGTCCCCAAAAGGGGGATTGTTAAAAACGAGCATATTAGATTTGAAAGCAATAGTCACGTATGTACTATTAAAACATGTATACAGGGCCGGCTACATGGTGCTGTTGCGTCATGTAGAACTTCCGATTTCACTGTTTTTTCTCTTAAAACTTTTAGAGGGTAGTCTAATAGATTATTTAGAAACAAAAAAAGTGTGGATGAAGCACGCTTTTCATGAGAAAATATATATCCAAAACGTATTTTTAGCTGTTCTTTCCATCATTACTTCCGCCGTCATCTATCTGCCATAGGACGGAGACGTCTGTGCATATGTTATACAGGGTTATCCAAATTAAGTGTCCACCATTAGTAACTTTGTTATTAGTGAAAATACAAAGTTGTTTGAATTAGCAAACTAGTAGCATTTTTAACGCTGGTAAAAATGAGAAATAAAAAAAAACAATTGAGAGTCGTTATTTTGATTTTTTTCAGTAAAATAACATTTTTTTAAATGGAAACCCCTGTATATTATATTTTTTTCTGTTAAAGCATCAAATTTTAAACAAAAAGCTTACAATAACTTTTCTCCTAGGTTACAAATTGTTGAAGTTATGGCCTCCAATCTGAAACAATTAAATTGTATCGACAAACTTTATTTTCAACATCAACTTATAATCTTACAAAATACAATAACAATTTTTTTTAAAGAAGATCCTCGAAAACACCACCTTGTTCTTCAATACATTTTTGGGCACGTTTTTCAACTGCTCGAACTGTCTTAAGTATGGTCCTACCATCTATCTGGGTTATCTTTTCCCTAACTGCAGTCTTTAACGCGTCAAGGTTATCGTACCTTCGCTTGTAAATTTGGTTCTTTAAGTAACCCCACAAGAAGTAATCAAGTGGGTTTAGATCTGGTGATCTGGGAGGCCACTGTATTGGGCCATTTGTTCCTATCCACTGATCATTAAAAGTAGTACTTAGAAAATGATAAGTACCTCTGGAGTTGTGGGCAGGTGCGCCATCTTGCTGAAAATGCAGATGATGTCTACTTATAAGATCCAATTCGTCTAAGAAATTAGTCAGAATTTCTGACATAAATTCCACATATCTTTCACCAGTTAGGGTTCCCTCATAAAAGAACGGGCCAACAATTTCTGAACCAATTATACCGCACCAAACGTTGAAACTGAAACGGACTTGTGGGCCTCTTGGATGTACTAACAAAAGATTTTCTCTTGACCAATAATGGTGGTTTTTTCTATTAAACATTCCAGAATTTGAAAAATTTGATTCATCTGTCCATAAAAGGTAACGAAAGTTATTTACATTTTGGCGACAGAAGCTAAGATACCAATGGCAAAAAACAAGTCTTCTCTCTGGATCCCCTGCCAAAAGCGTTTGAACTGGTCGGTACTTATACGGAATAAATTTGTATTTTTTTAAAATCCTTTGAACAGTACCATAACTGAAATTAGAGTCCTTTAGAATATCTGCTATTGAATTCTCACGATAAGCTTCAAAATATCCAATAACTGCAATTTCCGTGGCCTCGCTTATTATGAATTCTTTTTTTGCCCTTGTTTTAGCAAAAACATTTTCGTTGCCCCTAAATTTTCGATAAAGTCTCAGAAAATATCGTTCATACGGTTGAATGCGAGCGGGATATAATTCACTGTAGTATTCTCTTGCTCTCAAGGAGGATTTTCTGCACACTAAATAGCATTCTAACATATCACACTTTTCTTCATGGGAGAACATTTTTCTTTAAATTAATGACACAATAAAGCTTATAAACAAGTATTTACACTAATGTTTGACATTATTTGATTTTATCATTGTTTTCCAAAGCCCTCTAGTTGCGAGTATGTCCAGTTTAACAATTTGTCGCTTATCTTAATGCTGTCAAATCGCGAACGCCATGTTGTTTTCATAGCCGTCTTAATATTATAATACTGCAAATAATTAAAAATATTTATCGTTATTTTGACTTTATTTTTGACTTTAGCGGAAAAGTCATTATGAACTTTTTTGTTTAAAATTTGATGCTTTAACAGAAAAAAATATAATATACAGGGGTTTCCATTTAAAAAAATGTTATTTTACTGAAAAAAATCAAAATAACGACTCTCAATTGTTTTTTTTTATTTCTCATTTTTACCAGCGTTAAAAATGCTACTAGTTTGCTAATTTAAACAACTTTGTATTTTTACTAATAACAAAGTTACCAATGGTGGACACTTAATTTGGATAACCCATATGAGAGGGGCTCGCCTGCTGTGTTGCCGCATTTAGGGAAAAATATGAAAAGTTGTAAATTTATATACATATTTATATTAATTTATGAATCACAAAAATAAAAAAACTGAAACAAACAACAGTAGCAAAATAAAAGGCGATTCCTAATAAGCATAAATAAAAAATAACAGTAGTAAGCTAAAAAATGATAAACTATAAATAATTATAAGAAATAAAAAATAAAAACAGTAGTAAAACAAAAACTAATTCCAGTAATTATAAAAATCAAAAAATAACAAACACCTGCAAATAAAAAGTAATTCTCAGTAATTATAAAAACAAAATAAAAACAGTAGTAAAAGAAAAAAAAACAATTCCATGTTGAATAAAAAGCAATTCTCAGTGACAACACAAAACAAAAAGTAAAAACAGTAGTAAAACGAAGAACAATTTCGTTCTATCCAAATTGCTTTTTATTTTACTATTTGTTATTTTTTGTTTTTTTATAATTAAATGGAATTGCTTTTTGATTTTACTACTGTTTTAATTTTTTGTTTTTTAAAATCACTCTGAATTGCTTTTTATTTTACCGCTGTTTATTATTTTTTGTTTTATACTTAGTGAGAATCACTTTTAATTCTTCTACTGTTGTTTTTTTCAGTTTTTTGTTTTTGTGTTTCATTAATATTAATGTATATAAGTTATCCACTTTTCATATGTTTCCCTAAATACGGAGCCCAATCCGGCAACACCGCAGACAAGCGCCTCTAATATATGACATATCCACAGACGTCAACGTCATATGGGAGTGCGCATATCTTATCCATTGCCTCAGGTCGCACAAAACTCTGAAGCCAGACCTGCATGTATACCTTGCATAAAGGTGTTTCTCATCACTGCCCAGGATCCGCTACGCTGAGATTCTTGTTCGTCAATCTTGAGCTGCCCTCATGGACAAGGCAAAAAACAGCAAAATTATAGAAAACCACTCTCACGATTTGATAGGAAAATGGTATAATTCTGCCAAAATTCTTAAAAATGCAAAACATTTTACACGCTGACCTAAATTGGTCACATAGCTATGTATTGGCGGATCCACAAAGCGGGACTGGTGGAGAGTAACCTCAAAAGATCACAGAAAAAGAAAAAAAACGCAGAAAAGTAACTTATATCTCCAACTGTCACAAGGAAAGTTGCTCTCAGAAGCACCCGACACCACTCTTTCGCTCTCCAATTTTAATCTTGAGTTATGTTCGGTTAAACGTATCAGTTCAGAAAACACACATAATTCAGTGGCTTGATTCTAAATGAGTTTCGACCGTTGAAATTGATTTCGATGGCACCTTGTGACGATATACTTGACTCGCTATGATAATTTTGACATCTGACTATATTGATCTTACATCCAGATTATCATGGCAGTGTCAAAATTATCATAGCTAATCCAATATATCGTCAGAAGGCGCCATCTACATCAAATTCAACGGTCGAAACTCATTTGGAATCAAGCCCCTGTAGTGCTCATAAAACATGGATCGGACTTGAAGTCCTCGTTTTCAAGTAATGTAGGTATTCACAGGGATAAATTTAGGCTCCAGCTTCCACTTTGATGCCTTTATCATAAACACGATAAATAGATTATAAACGTAAGCAATAGTAGGTAGGAGATACTTTCCGGTTGCACATCCAGAGTGGCACTACACTGAATTGTACCAAATGAGACCAGTAACTTGAAGTAATCGTTGCCTCGGGACGTACTCGTAGATAGTAGTCTCAGCCAAGGGGAGGAGCAGTAGGTCACTAACAACTCAACATTGAAAAGTTGGATGCTAAACCAATAAGTGATACTATATCAGTATGAATGAAAATTGAGAAAAAAGCCCAGCACGGACATTACGTATGTTGAAACGTGACGTTTTGTTGTTTTTTTGACATTTCATAGGTTTTTATTAGTTTTTTCTACAAAATTTCAACTGTAGCTGTACGTGTTGCCTAAACGTCATGATTCTTCAGCTATCAATGTTTGGCTCTGATGTGATGTAACATGTGCTTCAGAGATGGCATTATTAGAAGTCTAAGCTGTTAGTTGTATGCTATAAGTTTCTTCGGGTTTTTATCATTACTGTACTAGAACTATCAGGAGCATGCGCAGAAGAAACCGTCGAGTTCGGGTTTCTGCTGGATTACTATAGGACCGTTTTAGAACAGAAATTTGATGTTCGCGTTATATTCTGGTTCAGTTCTAGGATGGTTAGAGAATCGTTCAAGCAGTTCTTGCTTTACTGCCGGGACCATTTTTGAACTGATTTTTCACATGCATGTTCCTTATGCCAATGTCATTAAAATAATTTGACGTGTTTTGCTTCAAATGCTGTTTACTTTTTTGCGGTTTGAGGAGTGGACACATGGATCCAATGCAGATCATTTTGGATTCTGATTCGTTTGACATGATGAACTTGAAGCAGTTGCATCCAGCGTACAAAACTTTTGTGAAAACCTTCTAAGAAAGAAGTGTGGTTATAGTTACTGACAAATATTCTCTTCTCTTCTTTGTTCCGTAGTCTTGGGTTCAGGCTGTTCGGGTTTTGGCAAAATTCTGATAGTTCACGAACTGTTCATAACTGCTTGAGATATCTTCCCTTTTACGCATTTAGTCGTCCGCAGCTCCAGAACCGTTCTGTGTCAGTACTGAATTTAGAACTCGAAAATAGCTAATAGCTGGAAGGAAACGGCAATGCGTAGGTGCATAGTGAGGATTTGTGTGCTAGTAATCTGTGTTGATGATAATTTCCTTGGTTTCTTGTCTCAAATACACTTACTTGAGATGTATTCAAACCCAGAAATTAGTTGCAAATTCCCTTTTTCTTATTAATTCTGGAAATTACACTTGCTGAATTTCAAAAATGTGAGAGATAAGAAAAGAAAATCCCTGGCTGGTAAAGTAACAGGTGAGAAACTATACTTAATACAGGAATATTCACGAAAGTGAAAAGGTTATTACATTATGTTTTATTCCCAGTCAATAGAAAATACAAATCAGCGGCTAGAGTCATTCCTAATTCTTCTTTGATTTGGCTCAATTGCACACAACGCAGGCGCTTTGGTGATTTCCGGTAATGCTCCTAAAAGTTCTTGAAAACAAAAAAAAAACAGGAAAATTCGTAATATTAATAACTTTGAACATAGCCTGTCTTCAGAAAGGACAACATATAAATAACCCGTCGGGCACAGCTAATAGATATACTTCATTGGAAGCATGTTTAGCAATAATTTTCTAATATATCAAATATCCCTGATTTTATACACATGCAGACCAATACACATAATCACCCAGATGCGATCTTACTACTCGACCAGCTTTCTTTCTTTCACATCTTCTCACAGATAAACGCTACATGACGCTCACAGCGATCATAGCGAGCAAACGTGGAATTATCTATTTGAAGCCTACAGACTACCTATTCCTCAAGATGATATTTTCTCGTTTTTTTACGTTTTTTAAGTTTTTTACATAAAATCCCATGCATTTAATTGGAATTTTGAAATTATGAACTATATTTCTCAGGATTTGTCCATGTCAACTCATATCGGTAATTCGCTTCCAGAGGCCTTGAGAGAACAACCCACACATGCATTTATTGCGTTTTTATATTAAATTCTATGTCAAAATATTGAGTCACAGAAGTTATGAGAAACAACCGTATTTATTGGGTTTTTATGGTAAGCTTGTAAATATCTTAATTACTCTTATTCTAAGAATTTGTCCGTATCAACCGATGTCAGTATTAATTGGCTATTGGCTCCCAGAACCCTGGGTGACAGGCTGCATAGTAGATATTGGTTACTTACTAGAATCAGTCACTATATTTACTGCACAGTATTAAAATCATGCTGTAAGTACTCTTTGAATAAATGAAGTTTTAACTTCGTCCGTTCCTTTACGGAGCGGCAAACCTTAAGAGGCTCAGGATGCTGAATCTTAAAATATGATACTGAATTTTAGCGACCAAGAGGTATTAGTAAAAACTGTGCTTATGTAAAATACCAAAATTGATGACGTAGCGAAACGAATCGTACGACACTGCTATTACGCGGATGCCTTTGAAAATGCGGCGCCCCTTTGTGAAATGTTCGCAAACGTCGCTGTAATCAAAAGGTACCACGTCAAAGCAGTGGCGCACGATGACTTCTACTACTGTCATCAATTCTGGTATTTGACTATAGTTCCCTAGAGTCCAACAGCAACTTATCGTCGACACCGAAACGTTGACACATGGAATCTTCTGTTCATCAGCCAACTTTACTTTGACCATATCTACACATTTTTTTTTTTTTTGGTGAGGGGGAATGCGTTTACGCACCATACTATAGCCCGAGCTACGGCGTGTGTGAGACTCCAGGTTGTCTTGTGGAGACCACCTAATACCCACTAAACCCTAACCTCCGCGTGGCCCGACTCATCAGCGTCTCGGTAGGCCATGTGTTGTGCGTGACCTGCGGTCTGCTACAACGTCTCCTCATGTGTTTCCGTTTCTGGGAACGCCGGGTTGGTTCCCTTTACCTCGCACATTCTATCGATGTCGTTAAGCGATCATCGATTAAGGGTCTGCTAGGTTATCTTGAAACTCTTGTTTTCGAAAAATCAAGAGTTTCAAGTCCTCTTACCTATATATTGTTCCTGGTCCTGGTCCTGGTGGGTCCTGGTCGTGGCGGGTCCTGGTCCTGGTTGGTCCTGGTCCCGGTGGTTCCTGGTCCTCTGCATCCACGCCGTGGGGGGGGGGGGAGCAACCGCGGGTTCTCCTAGTCTCCTAGTCAAGGTTCCAGTTAGCGGGTGCCAACTGGGACCTTGGTCTAGGGTACCTAGTTCTGCGGTTGCGAGGCCTCTCGTCCGGATCGTAGTCCATGAGGAATCGAAGCTGCTCGTTCGGGTGGTCCTGAGCTTTCTGGAAGGTCTTCTCCGCTTTTTTCCTCATGTACTCGTGAATGGTGTCCCAATGCAGGTCTCTACGCAAGGTTGAGTTTCTTACGTAGGATGGTGCACTGGTGGCGATCCGGAGTAGCTTCATCTCTAGAGCAGCAAGTCGCTTGCGGTAGCTGGGGGCAGCGTACCCCCAGACCGCGGAGGATATCTACACAGTAAGCAGGTCAGCGCTTATATGAGCATAGCACACGATGTAAATAGTGTAATAAGAATGAATGCTACTACTAGCGCCATCTGTTGGGAATCGCGCCAGGGACTCTCCTTCGACACCGATGCGAGGTTCTGGAGTGGCCGCTATGTGGCGTACCGGAACTTTCTCGAATTAACGTGTACCTGCGATACGGAATATATAAGCCGACGGCCGAGAGAGGGAAGCAGAGTTGAGTGAATGGCACGACATAATAATTCGTAAATAAGTAGTCGGACATAAATAGTGGTGTTCATAAATGTTCATCTCATCTAGTTTAGGTAAAGTTAGTTGTGTTGTGTTTCAAATAGATTAGTACATTTCTTTTTGTGGAAGCGAGTGTTTTAATCCACACCCAAAAGAACCCAGAAAAACGCTACATTGGTGTCAGAAGTGGGATGTGGATTATTGGACATTTAGTGAAAATAAATAGAATGGCGCGATTGGTTGATCTGAAAACTGTCGAGTTAAAAAGAAAGCTGGATGAAAGAGGGTGCGACACGGCTGGAAAAAAAAGCGGAATTGCAAGAGCGGCTTCGTAAAGCGCTGATTGAGGAAGGCAAGGACCCGGATATTTTCATTTTTACCTGTGCAGGGGATATTTGTTTAATGCTGCAAAACCTTTCGACCAAATTAGAAAACAAGCTCGTGAAAATTGTGCCACCCTAGAAGGAAAACTCGTGGAAAATTGTGCCAAACTAGAAACAAAACTTATGGAGTTATACGAAAGTACAGCCAAATTAGGAAAGAAGTTTTTGGAAAATACCGCTAATTTAAAAAAGAATTGGAAGATAAAATAATGGAAAAATCTTGAGAGTTGGAAAAACGGATTTTAGCGACTTTGGAGGACAGAATTCAAGAAGTGCAAGGCAAGTTTGCCGCTTTAGACGTCAAGAACATCGACGAACGTCAGCGTGGACTTCCGTTGGAAACATCAAGTGAGGTTGGAGCTTCTGTTGGCTCGGCTGGTCATCTGCGAATGAAACCGCCTCAATTTGATGTTACAACGCCTTGGAATGTCTACCGGCGTCAGCTTGAGGCATCTGCGAATGCAAATGGTTGGTCATCGACCAAAAAGGCAACTGCACTCACTTTGGCCCTGCGAGGAGATGCTCAAGCTATTCTTCAAAGGCCAGTCACCTATAGAACATATCTACCATACTCAACTAAAGAATCGGTTACAGATGTCAGGCGAGTCCTTGCAGGAGTTCGAAGAGGATATTGCGCGGTTGGTACGATTAGCATATCCTGGATGTTCAGGAAAGGATAGCAGTCCTGGATGGACTTCGTGACGGTGAAATGAATCAAGTCTTACTACTAGCACATCCACTTAAGCTAGTAGAAGCGCTAACCCGGGCCTTAGAATTCGAAGACGCTAAAAACACAAATAAAAGGCAGGTCCGAAACCGCCAGCTAATACGAGGAGATAACGAGTCCGTCAAGCGCATTGTTAAGGAACTTGATGGTTAACGTCGCCGCTAGAACAGCAAGTTGGAATGTTGGAAATGTGGAAAAATAGAGCACGTTCGGAGACGCTGTTTAAAGGATTCTAAGCATTGCCAGCGAGCAGACGAGAAATATGCCCAAGTATTAAGAACCACTATCGCTAGTGATACTTGGCAAAAGAGGGAGACCAAGAGGGCGACCCCGATCTCCAAATAATTCTGAACTGGATGAAAGAACAACAAAAACCAGCCTGGGATGAAGTTGCCAGGTTTTCCTATACCATAAAATCATATTGGGCACAACGGAATTCTCTAGTTATGGACGACGGACTCTTACTGCATAAAATGGTGGACCAAGACGGTAAAAAGGAAAGAACGCAAATCATTATCCCCAGATGTCGGATCCCGGAGCTGCTAGAAGAAATCCATTCCAGGGTGTCAGGAGGTCATCTCGCAGTTAAAAAAACCCTGGAAAAAGTGCGAGAGAGATTTTACTAGATCTATAGCAATAGGGACGTAAAAGACTGGTGTAGAAAATGCGTTGTGTATGCGGCAAGTAATGGACCGCAAAGGAAACCAAAAGCTTCGATGCGCCAATACAACGTGGAAAGCCCCTTTGAATGGATTGCTATTGATGTGGCGTGACCCTTTCCAGAAAGTGAAGCAAGGAATAAATACATCATTGTGGTTAATGGATTACTTCAGCAAGTGGGTTTAGGCATACGCTCTGCCAAATCAGGAACCCTCTACGGTAGCCGATGCTTTAGTAAAGGAATGGATCTGTCGATTTGGTGTACCTTTGGAGTTGCATTCGGACCAAGGGCGCAATTTCGAGTCAAATCTGTCCCAAAATATCTGTCAAATCCTTGGGATTAAGAAGACCAGGACTACTGCCTTACACCCGCAGTCAGATGGAATGGTGGAGCGCATGAATAGGACCATTAACCGGTATTTGGCTAAGGTAGTCTCTAGCCATCAAAGAGACTGGGGTAGTTTTCTTCACCTCTTCTTACCCATCGTCGATTCATGAGAGCACAGGAGAGACCCCGGCTCGAATAGTTATGGGAAAACGCCCATGCGATCTAAAGTTTGGCTGTCCACCAGGAGCTGATATTGCCGGAGAAGACTACGTAAGTGACCTGCGTAGAAGAATGGACGCCATCCATAGCCAGGTTTGTGTTTCAATTTAAGATGCCAGTCACCGGATGGAGGAAGCTTATGAAGTTAATGCCAAAGACCAGAGGTATGACAACGGTGATACGATTCAGAAGACTAGGACTACTGCCTTACACCCGCAGTCAGATGGAATGGTGGAGCGCATGAATAGGACCATTAACCGGTATTTGGCTAAGGTAGTCTCTAGCCATCAAAGACACTGGGGTAGTTTTCTTCACCTGTTCTTACCCATTGTCCATTCATGAAAGCACAGGACAGACCCCGGCTCGAATAGTTATGGGAAAACGCCGATGCGATCTAAAGTTTCGCTTTCCACCAGGAGCTGATATTGCCGGAGAAGACTACGTAAGTGACCTGCGTAGAAGAATGGACGCCATCCATAGCCAGGTTCGTGTTTCAATTGAAGATGCCAGTGACCGGATGGAGGAAGCTTATGGCGTTAATGCCCAAGACAAGAGGTATGACAACGGTGATACGGTTTGGCTTTACGACCCAAAGAGGCGAAAAGGGCTGTCACCTAAACATCAATCATCCTGGAACGGGCCATATAAAGTTCTGGAAGCCATCAACGATGTTCTCTATAAGATTCAGAAAGCACGCGGTAAAGCCTGAATTGTACATTTCAACCGACTTGCTGCTTATCATGGAAACAACGAAGATGGGGCAGTGCGGCAAATCCAATGAGAATTGGACATGACATCTGACTAATTTATGGCCCACTATGCTAATGGCCATAAGAGTCGGCATGTCGTGACATGTGCAGTACAGCAAGATCTGTGTACCACTTCACCAGAGTATGCCCTGGCACACTGTGTGGCTCAAGACTTGCAAATGTCGAGAGGTATAGCAAAGGCCTTTCTCGGGAACTTTGGAAGAGTGCTCAAGCTGCGTCAGTCTAACCCGGTACTCGAAAAAGTACACCAGATAACTGAAAGGGTACCAACCGAAAGATCTTCTATCTGGTTACCAAGAAAGCTTCGTATCAGAAACCGATTTACGAGGATGTCTGGAGCGCTTTTTGTTCTTTTAGAGAAGTGTTGCTCGCAGATGACCTGAGAAAACTGGCAATACCTAAGCTGGTATGTGGACTGGACAACCTGGGCTGGCGAATGATCCGAAGCATGCTTGAGGTAGTCTTCCGGTATACAGGCATTCGATCTCTGGTATGTTGTCATAGTCCTAGACAGATACCTCCTGGAAATAGTGTGGATTGATACTTCTTCAAGAACTCCTACTGCAAGAAAGGGCAGTCGTGCCGATATCGACATCCACCACTAGTAAGATCATTCCGGGACGGAATGACTGATGAGTGATACTACTAGCGACATCTGTTGGGAGCCGCGCCAAGGACTTTCGTTCGGCATCGCTGCGAGGTGCGAGAGTGACCTCGAAGGTTCTTCACTGGCTATGTGGCGTACCGGAACTTTCTCTAATCAATGAGTACCTGCGATGCGGAATATATAAGCCGACGGCCGGGAGAGGTAAGCAGAGTTGAGTGAATGACGTAAATAAGTAGTCAGACATATACATATGGTGTACATAAATGTTCTATCTCCTAGTTAAGTTAAAGTTAGTTGTGTTGTGTTTTAAATAAATTAGTGCTTTGTTTTGTGGAATCGAGTGTTTCAATCCACACCCAAAAGAACCCAGAAAAACGCTACAATACGTACAGAACGGAATTTCTGCATGGAACCATAGTTGTCTCGGGCTATCTGAATGCTTATTGGTTACCTACGGTGTACACATGGACTCTGTTCTTTTTAGAGGCAAACACGTCATTGTTTTGGCATTTGACAAAACATGAGTTCTCGCTGGAAATCTTACCTAATTTTAGTGAGTGTTACCTCAAGATCTACTTCTTCTGTTATGCGTTTATGCTGCGAGGTGGCAGGCGACGGTTGGGTGGAGGGTTGGTGGTTTTAAATATACTCCCTTATACTCGACTAAATAGTTTGTTACACTAAGTATTGTGAAACAGGAGATTGTAACGTGCCAAAGTCACGTAACCTTTTTTCTATTTATCACTTATCAGTAATTTGAATTTCTCTTTATTGATAATAGAGTGCCCATTCCTAGGCCAAACCCTTTTCAATGATTTTCTTTTGTCAAATTTGATAGTTTATTGATTGTATAATTTCACTCGTATTATATCTTTCTTTCTCAGCGATTCAGTATGGTGTTGACGATCAGCAAAAAACTCTGTAGTTTTTCTCCGTTAGTTGGTTTCCTATAAAACATATCTTCTTCAAGGCCACTCAAGATACCTTCTTCTAGAACGTTCCGTGTTCTGAGTGATTCGCTTTTCTGTTTCCGTTGAGGTCGTGATGCAGGGGTCGTTTCGTCATTTTCCGGACTCTGGAATATTAGGCCCCAAGCGCCAATTCATGGACTAGCACCATTTTTTTTGTGTAACTTAAGTTTAGTCATTTTTGTTTGGGATTTTGACCCTCAGCTGTAAGTTCTTTTTTATATACCTTCGATCACGTGCCTTAATGCGTGTCCTGATGACGTTCGTTCAATATCTGCTTTCTTTTAGTCAATAGAAACAGAAGAGGATCATCATCCTTTCTCCTCCAGTTGGTTGCATCTTGTTGCAGTTTTGCAAATTGGTGGAAGCCATCCCCTTGAAAAAAAAACATTGATGTGAACAGCTAAAATATCATTCTAATTAACAATTTCATAGATCTTTATACATTTATTATTGCTTATTGAAATACTTAGAGACTTATTGATTTTATTGGACATTCTACGTATTCAAATATGGGGGTAGTACCTACATGACACCTTCTATTACATTGATCATGATTTTGATTTTTGAGCTGCCATAACTTTTTAGAACAAGGGTATATTAGTTTAGTACATTTTTATCTTTTTTTTGCCTTTGCTTTACTTTTCTTGTACAAAAAAATGTACATGGTTTTGCTTCAAGTGCGATTGTTTTCAATGTGTAGTTTTATCTCAGGCAGTAGATTTTTAAACAGTCTTTCTCTCTTGAGGGTTTTTTACTACCATAATTTTTGGCAACGAGGCAAGCGTCCTCTGCCCAGTGACGTGCCCACTACTGGCCAAATTTGGACCAGCACGACATCTCGGCCGCCCCTGACAAAGAAGACCTACAGATAAGTTTAATATTCAGGCGAAAAATATCTGTAAATACTTCGGGTGTATACCATGGTAGACGTCTCGCGGGGTTATCCCGAAAAATAATTTTGTCAGGTTGTATTTAATATTTATAACATCCTTTCTTTTTTTTAGTACTCGCACTCCAGTAGTGGTGCAGATGTGCATTTTTTATTAATCAATGTATTGTGATTAATTTAATATCTTGTTTTATTTGGCTCTCTCTGTGTGTACTGTTACTTAAATTTCGTCATCTCTGTTATATTCTTCTTTTGTGTGGTGGTCAAGCGAAACAAGTTCCGACTAATATCTCGAGGAGTTGTCGCTTTATCCGTCCTAAGTCACTGGTGCTCTTAACCCCCCCCCCCTTACTCTCTGCTTTATTGAGCTAGGGCCTAAATTTGCACGCCACTAGAAAACTGTTTTGCTTGGACCAACCGTTAGATAGTATTTATCATTGTGTTTTATTAATTAACCAAAAAAGGCG